AATCCTATTGCCCAAATCATGCCTTGTTCAAGGAAACAACCTTGATCCCTTGTTCAAATTACATATCATATAACTAAGAAAAGAATAAGGAGAAAGTGCATCAGTATTAATGCTAGCTTTAATGTTATTGAGACTGTGTAATTGGTATTTTGCTCCATTTGTTTTCTTCCTTTGAAGAAATCTTTGGAGGGTCTGCTGGAGCTTCGATGTTTAAAGCTTGGAGGAGACCTTGCCTGCTCTCTAGATCTTGTAGCTACATAGGACTTCTCTTGGTGATTAAGGATGATACTACTTGTAGCAGACCAGACGAGGAAGTACTTCACCCAAAGAGTGATTAACACGTGGAATTCACTACCACAGGAGGTGGTGGCAGCTACAAGCATGGACGGCTTCAAGAGGGAATTAGATAAACATATGGAGCAAAGATCTATCAGTGGATATTAGCCACAAGCTATAGATAGGAACTCTCAGTCTGGGGCAAGTGATGCACTGTATTCTTGGTGCTTGGGGGGGGCACAGTGGGAGGGCTTCTAGTGTCCTGGCCCCACTGCTGGACCTCCTGATGGCACCTGGTATTTTTGGCCACTGTGTGAGTGTTGGACTGGATGGGCCATTGGCCTGATCCAACAATGGCTTCTCTTATGTTGTTATCTGTAATGAATGCATGCATTAGCAAGCCTAGTTGTGATGGGTTTAAGGCTTCTCTGTTTATTTAATGCTTCCAATGATAGATCTGGGAAGAGGAGAACTTTTTGAGGGGTTGGAGGCTGTGGCGGGTGGCCTGAAACAGAGCCCGCTGGCATCTCCCAGTCTGTATCTGGCATCCCCCGCCAGTGGCCGGGAGGTACCTGGCAACCCTAGTATGAGCTTCTTTAACATACATGTATGTGAAGTTACTGCCCACCCTCTCTCTATATTTCATTGTATCTAAAGAAGAGTGTTTGTGCACAAAAAAGCTCATCTGTTGATCTTAAAGGTGCCACTGGACTCAAGCCAGGATTTAGTTTGCTGAAAAGTATTTGTTGTACATAGTGTTTCAGATTTTGTTGCAAAGTTTGTTGCAGCCTAGTGTGCTAAAAAACTGGGGCCGGCCCTGAGAGGAGGCCAGGGGGTGGGGACATGTAGCAAGCCCCTACAGATTTTACCCCTGAGCACTCTGTAACGCTAATTCAGATTCATCCCAGCTGCATGTATGCAGGACCAGCCCTAGATCCAGTGGTGCCCCAGGCAAGTCCTTCCCCTTCCAATAGTTCCAACTTTTGAACACCTTTTTAAAAATTGTGTGTGTGTTACCCTCACAACAACCCTGTGGGGTAGGTTAGGTAGAGAAGGGGAGATTTGGCCCGGGGTCACTCAGCCAGCAGAGTGAGAATACAAACCTGGGTCTCCCCACATCAATCTGCAACTCTGACCACTGTGCAGTGCTGCCTCTACTGATCTGTAATGTTCCAGAGGTGTTGTAATGTAATACTCAGTTTCTCAAACGAGTGTATGCCTGTCTGTTGGTCCACTTAGGAGTCTTGATCCTGGTTGTGTGGTGGGCTAGTTGTGGCAAATGGTAGGGAAGCTCAGTATTTCTGTATACAGTTGTAGGGGCTTTATTGCAATGTGGTATGGCCTGATATTATGTTCTTATTCCAGTGTGGGGTGTGTGTGGGGCAATGGAAGCTGAGTGATAGGGTCTCTCCAAGTGATTGCCAGAAGTGAGATGCGTCCTGGTCTTGTGTCTTACAGATAATCTTACAAACAGTCCTTTGCATTTATATCATGCTTTCAACTTTAAAAGGATCAGAATGCTGATTGTGTGAACTTAGGCAAATCAGGAGAGGTAGAGCAGGAAGGGTTGCATCAGTGCTTAGTTCTTGTGGTCCTTTCTTACACGCCCAGGGAAATGCTGATCGTCACTTTGGGGCCAGGAAACAATTTTTCTCCAGGCCAGTTTGGCCCCCAGTGATCCTGGAGGTTTTTTTTAATCATATTCTTTTTTATCATATTCTGGGCGTGGAACAGGGGTCACTGGGGTGTGGGGGGGTATTGGTGAATTTCCTGCATTGTGCAGGGGGTTGGACTAGATGACCCTGGAGGTCCCTTCCCACTCTATGAGTCAATGATTCTATCATTCACCCAGGCTGGCTGTGGGCACACCAGCACCTCTGTCAGGCAGAAGCGCCTGAGATCCTCCCCCTACCCTTTTCCTTCGCCTGACTTGGAGGCGAAGGGAAGGGAGAGGGGGGGGGAAGAATGGATCCCAGGTGCTTCTGCCTGACAGGGGGGCTGGTGCACACTTCCGGTGATGTCAGGGGGTGTGGCATATGCTAATAAGTTATGCTAATATGCTCCTGCAGCTCTTTTTCTATGAAAAAAGACCCCTAGTCATACTAAAATGGCCACTAGGAACTATACAGGGGAGGCTTAGATTTATAACTTCTTGGGCTGTAGGCTTTGCTGGGTGGCATGACAAATTGTGGGAACAGTTCATTATGGTGAAAATAACAGTCCAATGTCAGCTTTCTCAGTCACTTAATACTAACAGACACGCTAAATTGTCACGGTTTTGGGCACCAGTGATAAACTACATGACATCGCATGAAGTTCTTCCTACAAACACTCACCATCACAGTTGGATTTTTCTATAAACATCCCTTAAGCCTAGCTCCCCCTTACATTAAGATTGACACTTTCAAGGGTCCACAAAATGCAGGGGTACAAATAAAGTTAAATACGTCTTTGGTCTTAAATGAAGTGAAAAGGGTTAGATGAAATGATGTGTATAATATAGTACTTACTTGAAAGCTCCCTCATACCTTCCCTTTGTTGTGTTTTTCATGTAGTATTGTGGTTACATTGTAATGTATAAAAGAATAAAAATAATTTATTTTTATTTTTTTAAAGGGCAGAATTGACCTGGAAGCCATACAACATATTAAGCCATACAAAGGCCTAACTAGTCTCTTTACTTAATGCAAATCCAAATGAGGAATGCAATTAATGAACAAACTCCATAAAATTCCCTTCTGGAATTAAGGGAGTGACAAGGTGTTAGGTTTTTTTCCAACAGAATGAGGGCTCTGTGAATGTTCACCCCAATGTTATTTCACCCCAATGTGGAGAGGAAACATACAGGTACAGTCACTAGCCTAGGAGAATATGACTGATCACTGAAAGGAATAATCCACTATTCATCACAGTCATCCTCAGCCATTTACTTTATTATCTCACAGTGGCAACACCTTCCCTGGTGCAGTTCAATAGTGTCTTTCATTCCCGTAACCCACCTCTCACAAGCATAGTGAGAATGAGAAAGGCTTACGGTGTGCTTGGGCTTTGGGGTAGAAGAAACAAACAAAAAGGATAATGAGAACTTCTTAGTTCTTTCATTTCAGTGCAGTTAAACATCACTTGGTGCTCTTGATACAGTTTGTAGGCTGAAGAGGGCATATACTTCTCAAAGCCTTTCCTGATTATTGTGTATCTCTTCTCATAAACTGATATCACAATGACTCCAGGATTCAAGGAATAATTAGAGGAATAATAATTGCAGGAATAATTTGAACAATATGCTGTAGGGAGAGAGCTGGGTTGGCTAGGGTTGCCAACCTCTGGGTGAGGCCTGGAGAGCTCCCACATTTATGACTGATCTCCAGATGATAGAAATCAGTTCTCATGGAGAAAATGGCTGCTGGGAAAGATGAGCTGTACACCATTATACCCCAATGCCCCGCCCTCCCAAGGGTCTATCCCCCCCCCTCAAATTCTCCAGGAATATTGCAATGCATAGTTGAGAACCCTAGGTATGGATAATGAGGATTAGAGGCAGTGGCTAAAATTGAGACAGCTGGTAGGGCTGGTGGGTTTTATTACAGTCCCACCTATCCTTTCCTCCGTAATTGAAGCATTGGACTGAGCCGTTGTTCAGTTTGCCGGAATATACATCTGACATTTCAGGAGCTAAGCAGGAGAAGCTGGGCTCACCCCATTGTTTAGGAACTCACTGCAACCACCTTTTCATTAGCTCTATCTAAGGATCTATTTAAAATATTTAGATTTATTTAAGGAAGTGATGGGTATGGCCTATTCTTTGTACTTCTTTGTGGTGCAGCAGTTCTGATAGGACCAGGCCTAACTGGTGTATTCTTATGTATATAAAGCAAAGACTGGATAGTACAGTAGTGAGATTACATTTCCACAGTTCTATTGTTGGCCTCAGGCCTTGCAATACACTCCATACTTTATTTTTTCTCCTAATTTAGTTCCCCCTAGACGTTCTTCAAATGTTGTGTCCATTTCCCGGTTGTGATCTTCAGTGAAAAGGTTCTTCCAGTCACTAACTCCACCTGCACAGAGTATCTGTGTTACTATCCATAATATTCTCAATACATTTTGATCAATCATTCTACTGTTGTTCCAGGTGTATCCTGATCCCAACACATTTTCATTACAATAATATGCTTCTGCTACAGCTACTTTTACAAAATAAAATCAGATGACTCAAGTGCAATGTTCCCTCTAAGCTGTGGAGTCTTGTGAGCAAAAATTCTACTTTGTGAGTGACTAGCATTAAAGTTGTGAGCAAGTGATTTGGCTACTGTATAAATCAGTTTGCTCTGGAGCCATCCTTCCTGAGCTAAGACAAAAATGTGTGAGCTGGAGGCTAAAAAACTGTGAGCTAGCTCACACTAACTCAGCTTAGAGGGAACACCGCTCAAGTGTATTTTTCAAAGAATGAAGAGGAAGCGCTACAAGACTGTGATAGAATAGGCCAGTTGTGGCTGGCTATTTATCTAGTCTCAGCAACTAAACACCACTTCTAATGCTATGCCGATGCCATTTAATCTCCCACCGCTTAGATCTAGAGAGACATATTCCATGGACATTGGAGCTTCACTCCCCAAACAGCTGCCACATTTGTTTCAATAGAAGTAGCAGACCCACAGACCAGAGGGAACATGCAGTCACCTGTGCAAGAGCTCTCTGCCCATAGCAGTGTGGGTCAGGAAACATGTCTGAACTGCTGTAAGAATGCATGGGTTGAATTTTATCATATACAAACTGATGTATAAACGACATTATCCTCTTGTGTGAAAACTGGTAGCTCATGGATCAATGGATTTAGAAGGGTGTAAATCTGTTTAGGATTGCATGGGGGATGATTATGAAAGTCATCCTGTGTTTCAATGATCAGTTGTTTTTCAAACCTAATGTAAAATTATTGGGGTTTGTTTACTTTGAAGCTCATTAGAAAGTTACCTTTGCGGAAAAGGACTTTGCCAAATTCGCCATGGGTTTTTTGAGAATTTTCTTTCATAGCTTGGAAACTGCTTTTGTCTACGACTTCTTGAATCTCTTGCTCAGTTAGGTTCAACTCAAAGAATTCACTTATCCGTTTCACCCCCAAAGGTCTATTCTGAAATGAGGAAAAGAGGGGGAAAAGACTGCTAAAAGTGTCTGAGTTTAGAAGATGATTAATGTCAATAAAACCCAGGCAAACCTAGCACTCAACAATCTTTGGGACATCTTCCAAAAGAAGAGCAGCAAATGTTTATACTCAAATGCATTTATCTTGTACATTCAGAAGTGTATAATGGAGGACAATAGAGAAAGAAAGAAAAACACAAAAAAGAAACAAAATCTCAACCAACAAACAGCAAAGGGGAGAGAGGAGACTTGCTGTCATGAGTGCTCCAAAAAAATAAGAAATGTGATTCAAAACTTAATTTAAAAGGTTAAGCAATAGGTAGAGATCAGGCAAAGGGGTATTTTATATTACTAACAATATTCTTGTTGATTTAGCACATTTTCTGTCATTTTCCTGTCATTTTCATTCTCTCTCCCTACAGCCCAACCCTATGACTGAAAGCACCATTTTTAGAGTATATATGGGAGGAGACTAAAGATCTCTTTATTGGCACAGCCTCACAGCTGTGGGAGTTGCCTAAATATTGGTGGAGGAATTGTTTTGGTGGTGCCATGCTTACTGCATATTATGTACTGTTCTGGAAGCACAAGAAAGACGTTTGCCAGAGGGGTCTTTGTTTTGCTACTGCCCATGGGCAACATGGTGGAAGCCAACACAAATGAATGCCAGCCATTTTATCAGTAGAGGATGATACAGTGATTGGTTAGCTTCTATTCTGAGATAATGTGATGTCTAAAGAACTGGTTTACAGGAAGTGTCAAGGCACTTTGCTGACTTGTTTCCAGCATACACCAACTTTACTGGCTGTGTAATCGAGGATCTTCATCATTGCCGTAGATCAATACAAAGGAAGAAGCTTGTACATTGCAATATTTGAAGTGCAGTGCAAGCAACTTGGCTGCTGTGAGTATGCAGCCTTATCCTTCATCTCGAATCAGTGCTTATGTCATCTCATTATCCCAGTTCCTTAGCAAATCTTTACAAGGTGCAGTGTGTCTTCCATACAGCTTCCATACTTACCTCCTTCAGTTCCTCATAAGTGATTGTCATGATATTTTCATCATCAGCATGCTTGTTCCATTCAAAGACATAGTCAAAATAAGAGCCCCAGGGCACTGAAAGTATACAAAAGGCAGTAGAGTTGACGACTAGAGTATTCTTTGGTGACTGGAATGCAATGGGGTTTGCTATTCATGTATAAGGTATTTCTGCGAAGACAGAGTTGCAATTCAACTCCCTCCCCTTCCTTAAACACTTCCCCTCCCTCCTCTGTTTCCCCCTGTCCAGAGTCAATCCAGGCTCTCTTCAATATGGGAAACACCTGCAAATCTGGCTATCCCTATAGGAGAAGAGATGTCCCCTGCATGGCTATAGCAAAGACAGGGATCACCCAAGTCAGGGGGCAAATTTGATTGCTTTCAATGAAATTAAAATTTGGGCAACTGGTACAGGGGCAATGGACTTAGTCTCTAATACACTGGCGTTTTTGTTGAATATCTAGAGAGATGTCATTTAATCTATTGTAGTTCTTCATTTTTTTATTTTTACTGGCATGAAGCTACTGCTGTTCAATACATTTCTCCAACACAATAATAGACTTCCATGGATTTAAGTAGGTGTGACTCAGTTTAGAACTGCACTGTTAGTTGGGGGCAGGGGTCTTGTTGTAGAAAAAGAGCTGCCGGAGCTCATTAGCATAACTCATTAGCATAACTTATTTGCATATGCCACGCCCCCTGACATCACCGGAAGTGACAGAAGGCCACACCCCCTGACATCACCGGAAGTGTGTCAGAAGGCCCGGCTACTTACCCTCCTGCTTCATCCTCATTCCCAAACGGAATGAGGATCGAAGCAGAGGGCGGGGTAAAGAAGGGGGCGGGGCTTCACCACGTGACCGCCCCGCCCCCTAGAGGTTCTCTTCCGGAGCTCCGTACCTGAGAGCTCCCCCCCGACTAGAGCCCTGGTTGGGGGGGGGAGCAAACATACTTTGTCCAGTCATAAAAGCTTTGAAGTAGTCATCCCAGGAGGTGTAAGAGGGAAGTGGAGCCAATCCGTTGGAAAAGTGGTAAAAAGATGTAGCTACATCTTTTGGATTTCGAATGAGCAGCAGTATCTAAAATTGAAGCATATATATGATATTTCAAGAGATAAGTCAAAACTGTAGTAGTAAATTACTGCCACAAAATGAGTACAGGATTCTACAGCCTCAAATATTTCATTTTCTCCCTTTATTCTTAATCACACAAGTATCAACCAAATTTAAAATCTCTGAAGTTGGTTTTTCTTAGCTACTCAATATTAATTGCAAATCTGTTTATCAGAACACACCAAAAAAGACCCACACCCAATTCCTTTTTAGTGAATGGATGTTCTGTATCCTATAGATGCAAATTCAAAGTTTCAAAAGAAAACTACTGTCTGGCCTGTATATTCATAAATCCCATTGATTACTATGACAAAATTGGATTGCCTCTACGAGATGGGGTTTCTCATAGTATTTATGTTGCCAGTGTGATTGCTGGACACCATCTAAAAGGAGCACTTGTTAAAATCTGCATCAGATAAGCATAATATGTGAACTGGTTATATAAGAATTTGACTTGGAACAGACCAAAGGAATCCATAACCCATTATATAGTTCCATGTTTCACAAGCTTATCCATTATTGAGACATATCATTAATTCATTCTGTTTAGATCTTCAGGGTCATCCAGGTGTGTACATGAAGCTCCTATACATGCACATTACTCCATTCTCTAACAGAAAACAAATTCTGTTGTGCTCTTCCACTTCTTTGTAAACGTTTCCCACTGTACTGAGGTGGGTGAATACTCCCTTTTCAGCAGACAATAGTTGGTGGATTCCACAGAAGATTTTTGTATGTGCGACAGTCAATGAACAAGCAGAGGCACTAATGTTATTCTTTGCTGTCTGCTTTCATTGCCAGTACCCTTTCCAGGTGCATACGAAATAGCACAAGATATTTTGTCTGACACAATTTCAAAAGCAACGTAAATAAAGACCATGCAAGCTATCTGTTTCACATTCTGTTGCTCCATATGCACAGTGTTGTTTTGTTAAAAATTATACAGAAATGCTAACGTGTTTCTCCAGCCCTTGCACAAGTGGAACTGTACTAAGTACATTTTCCTGGATCCAATTCCATGTGCCACCAGACCAGAGACATTAAAAGTTCTATCTGTTGCTCCATATGCACAGTGTTATTTTGTTAAAAATTATACAGAAATGCTAATGTGTTGCTGCAGCCCTTGCACAAGTGGAACTGTACTAAGTACATTTTCCTGGATCCAATTCCATGTGCCACCAGACCAGAGACATTTAAAGTTGGAAGTTTAAAGTTGGAGGTTGAAGTTGGAGGTTTCATAACATTAGAGAGCTTTGTGAAATCTTAAAGACTGGTGGTGGGTAGGGAGACTCCCAATCCTCCCCTCCCCCAGAACTACCCTGGCAATGATGGAAAGCTTTTAGGAGTAGCTGCCCATGCTACAGCTGATTGGTAGTATCTCCAGGCAGGGCCCAGATACACTGACAGGAAGAGCAGCTCCCAGCCTCTTGTGAAGACCACTCTCCTTGCAAGGGGTAGAGATTGGCCAGAAGGCTAATGTTAAATACTGGGTTCCATGGATTATCAGACCCCACTACTAGTGATCAGCTCTACTTTATTAGTGATTTCAGCAAGTACAGGACTAAACTCCAGGGCCTCAGCCCTGTTTAAATAGCATGCAATTGCCATGCCCAAACACACCCCACTCCCAATGGTAGGCTATTTACGTAACATTACTTCTTGATTGGTTACTTCCAGAGTCCTGGTGGGCTATTGTTCTTGGGCTCCAAGCTCAGCCAGTCTCTAGTAGAACAGTCTGGGGATGTTTCAGTCCCAATGCATAACACCTAACACAAGTTGTAAGTTGTAATGCTTCCTTCAAAAGAGGAAACCAGTGAAGAGTTTCCAAGCTAGGAGGGGAGCTGGTGAGAGGAGGAGGAGGAACCAAGTGTGTTCAGACTCACTCCTTCTGAGTCTACATGGGTAGCAGCCCAGGGCCAAAGCAACTGAGAGGGTGGGGCCAGGGTCCCCTCCCTCACAAAATCAACTAATTCATTGTAACCAAAGCTTCCTGAGCCAGAGCCCATTGAAGTGCTGTCACAGTGGCTTCTGAATGTTTTCATTTTAATGTCTCCTTTGTGTCCATTTATAATTTTGTGTCACTGACCTGGATTGCCAAATCTAGTCTGATCTCATCAGATCCCGGAATCTAAGATGGGATGGCCCTAGCTAGTATTTGGATGAGAGACCACCAAGAAATACCACGGTGGTGACGTAGAGGCAGGCAATGGCAAACCACTTCTGAACATCGCTTGCCTTCAAAACGCTACGGGGTCGCCATGGGTCAGCTGTGACTTGACGGCGTTTTCCATCACCATTCTTTTGCGTAGAGACAGATTTCATGGTTTTCCACAGTGGTTAGACATCTGTTACCGGTTCATATCTGATGAAGTGACTCTCAAAAGCTCATATCCTGAAAATTTTGTTGGTCTCCAAGGTGCTACTGGACTCAAATCTAACTTTTCCTCAGCAGAAAGCAACACAGCTACCCTCTGAAACAGTTCATATATAGTGTGAAGCCATGTATTGGAAATGGCAATAACTCTTGAAACTAACTTAATATAGTAGATCTTGGAAAGAACTGAAGTTCCAGCATAGAGAGGGAGATTCCCTTCACTGCTGTTCCCTTTGCTGAAATTTGCTGCATATACTGCATATACCCAGAGCTCTCAATCTAGGATACAGTGTGAAATAACTTAATTTATAACATGTCATTTTGATGAGGCAACGATGAGGGAATAGGGCTAGCGCCAGCATGAGGGAATTTGGGGCTGCAGATGGAGTGGAGGGAGATGAGAAAGTTGTAAATCCCTCTGCCTACAGAGGCATTGGTTGGATCCCAGCTGATCAGTGCAAATCCTTTTGCTTCTTCTTTCCCCTATAAAATGTTTACATCTCCTGAAGAGACACCTTATGCCTTTCTGTTTCCATGTCAAGAGATGCAACCTCCCCTTTCAGATGTAATGGAAGAGCAAGGAACAGGAAGTGAATTGCACAAGTAGTACAGATTTCCTCCATTTTGGGATCATAAAGCTGCAGTTAGATGTATGCATAAGGAAAGAGTCCTGTTATCATAGGCAAGTCTGATAATATACTGTGAAACTGCTATATTGTAACAGAAGTTCAAAGCTTAAGGATATCTGCTACTATGACTTCAAGGCATTGGAATTCTCACCTTGGCCTTGTTCTTGAAGATTGATGCGGGTAGATTACAAGGAACAAGGTGGGTAAACATAACTCTTCTGGAAGGTAAATTTGCCATCCTCTTTAATAAATTGAATGATGGAAAGAAAAAGAGAACTTAATAGTTTAATGATACATCAGTATTATTATCCTGTATAATAATGGCTATTTGCTGTTAGGAGAGCTAGTAACAAAGGAGATTTTTTTTCTATCAAAAAACCCACATCATTTCAAAGAAAAGTCAGATAAAACATAGATTTTAAACATCAGCCTAACACATCTTGATGTACACGATCAAGAAAAAAAATCCGTAGACGAAACTACATGTTATGTTAAGAGTTCCTTGAATGGCCACCTGGGTTATTTTATATTATTTTATTTTAAACCTTGTTTGGTGGAGCAATGGTGTGAGATTAAGTTCTGGGAGACTCAGGTTGAAATCCTGACTCTGCCATGGAAGTCAACTGGTTGACCTTGGCCCAGTCACACTCTTGCAGTTTAACTTACCCCAAAGGGCCCTTTTCTGAGAGATAACAGAGGAGCGGGAAATGGAGCTACTTTGGGTTCTGACTGGGGTGGAAAGTGAGGTATAAATATCTCAATGAAAAGAAATTGAGAGCATGGCAGAGTGCATGTGTGCATGTGCATGTAAGTGCATGAAAGTGGACATTGGGGTGGGGTAGAGTAGAATTCTATGACTGGAAGAGATCCTGACAGTTTTCCTACAGGTGATTGTCTTGGGAAAAATCTCTGGAGCAGATTTTTTTTCTCTTGGAGTGGGGGTTTCTTGGTTATTCAGACTTCTATCTTGTCATCATGTGCATGTACACACATACAGGCCCCTAGAATCAATACTGAAAATAATTTTACTTTTTTCACATTAGGGGCTATCTGGGGCTCTGAATGGGTTGAGATTTTGAACTGATTTGTCTGCTTTGGACAAAATCCCTCTCAGTGGATGAGAGAAGTTCTTAACAATAGAAAGTAGCATCTAATGTTGCCTTCAACTGACCAGAGCTGAGCATGTGGGTAATTTTAGCCTCTCCATTATCTACTGAGTTCCTTGGATTAATGTATCCTGACATCATGTCTAGAAAGGTCTCTGGTTGTAATTTGGGTGTCTGAGTGAAGAACTCATGGTGGAGAGCAGTGTTCCCTCTAAACTGAGTTGGTGTACGCCAGCTCACCGTTTTTTAGCCTCCAGCTCACACATTTTTGTCTCCGCTCAGGAAGGATGGCTTCAGAGCAAATCAATTTATGCAGTCGCCAAATTGCTGGCTCATGACTTTAAGGCCAGTAGCTCACAAAGTAGGATTTTTGCTCACAGGACTCCATAGCTTAGAGGGAGCATTGGTGGAGAGGGAATGAAAGGACCAGGAAATGTCCTCTTCTCTCTGCCCCAACTTACTTCTCTTTGTGATACTTTTTGCTGGCTCATACAGGGTCAGTTTTGATCTACCAACTGTGAGAACCTTGGGATTGTTTCAGATTTACTTGTCTCTCTTTCACACAATGACACATGGAGATTATGTTTTAGGCAAAAGAAATTCATCAAAATAATTTAGAGTTTCTCTGCATGGTTTCAGTGTTCACCTGATATTTCTCAGGATCTCCAACTTCAAGATATGGAAATTCTTCCATTTCATCATCTGTGCTATTTGTGTCTTCTTTATTTTTTTTAGATGCATCAACCAAATCAGTTAGGATCTGACCAGCCCAGTTTGTACCTGAAGATAGATAGATGGGTAACATATTTTTGATTTTATAGCCATAATGATCAGAAGAGAGGAACAGAAGAAGAGCCCTGCTGGATCAGACCAATAGTCCTTCTAGTCCAGCATCCTGTCTCACACAGTGGCCAACCACCAGGTCCTCTGGAGGACTAACAACAGGGCATAGAGGTGGAGGCCTTCCCCTGATGCGGCCTCCTGGCTCTGGAATTCAGAGAATTAGAGCCTCTGAATGTGGAGGTTCCCCTCAGTCACCATAGCTAGTAGCCATTGACAGACTTACCCTCCATGAATCTATCTAATCCCATTTTAAAGCTGTCACTACTAGGCATGGGGAAGCCCAAAACACAAAGCAGAATTCATCACAAATTTTTCTTTCTGGTTCACAAACCAAAGTTCAAGACAGGTCTACCATCATGAACTTCCATTAATTTTTAAAGTAGTTCATGGTGGCTCATGGTGGT